GAGAGAGAGAGAGAGAGAGAGAGAGAGAGAGAGAGAGAGAGAGAGAGAGAAAGAGAAAGAGAAAGACAGACAGACAGAGAGAAAGAGAGAGAGAGAGAAAGAAAGAGAGAGAGAGAGAGAGAGACCCCAGATCACCCCGCTGGCTTTCATGGCTAAAGCGGGATTTGAACCCAGGCCCTCTCGCTTTCTGGCCCGGCGGCCTTAACTCCTAGACCAAACTGTCTCTCGGGAAACTTGCAATGGAAATAAGCCCACTTCCGTTCTGTTTGTTCTTCATCTCCTGGCTTTGCTTAAAAAGCTTAACTAGAATGGTTGCAAAGGATTTGGTATCTGGTCTTCATTTATTTATCATCTCCTCTTATGGACTTCCCCTCCCGGTTGAAACTTAATTAGCACGGCAACCTACACCTGACGGCGTACGGAGTGCTTTCTGGAGATGGTTGATCTTCCCGGGGATGGGCTTTGTAGTGCGCAGACACGCAGGGAGGCCTCGTTCTGCCGGGCGCGTTTCTCCTCTGATCCGAAAAACCTCCGAACGTCTAACAAAATTCGGATTGGCTCCTTTCCCACCGCACTGTAGAAGGCAGGCTTTCTCGTTGCCCCGTTGAAATACTTTTGAGCGCTTCGGTTTCCCAAAAGCAATCTTCAGAAAGGGTGTTGTTTTTTTTAAACCACCGGATAATCACCGGGGTGTTTGGTTACGTTTGAACCAACCGGCTGAAATATCGAGCCCAGTTGTCACAAAGCGAGGCGGACTCTCTTTAGTGGCGGAAACCTGAGGCGGGAGGGCAAGGGGGCCGAGGCACCGAAGGAGACGTCTTTCCCTCAAGGCGCGTTATAAAATCCAGAGGAAGGGGAGGTTTGGATGGAAGCAGAATTTTAAATTGTAAAAGCTTCAGAAGCGGACCGAAGGCGGCGGATTTTAATGTCGGGAAAGGGACACATGAACTGGGAAGATTCCCGCCCTACGCATCGATCTAAAGAGGGGTTAAGAAGTCACCGTTGCCGAGACGGCTTGACGGAGACCTGCTTGGTCTACCCTTCTGATCTACAGGAAAATAAATAAATAAGCAGCAAATTCACGCTACCTGCTAGCCTAGACCCTGGGCTGGTACGCAGGCAAAACGACAAAATGCATTGCTTACTTTTTTTTTGAGTCCTGATTGTGAGTTTGTCTGGACCTCGCTACCAGATACCAGCCCCCTCCGGAACGCCTTGGCTTGGACAGAAATCAGTAGGTGTAGACATAGAGACATAGGTTGGAAGGTACCTGGGATATCTTCTAGTGGAACCCTCTGCCC